AGATAATTGAGGCGGAAGGAAGTATAGTTCCACAGTCTTGTTCACTGCGAATGCTGAAGCGCGAAAGGGGGCTGGGTCTAGGGCGATGCCAACCCTTCTTCGGGAAACGGGCAAAAGTATCGTAAATCACCGCTTCGTCGCGCATGACAACGGACTCGACGTTTCCTTAAATTTCACTGCGCTTTCGATTGCAGCCTCAAAATCCACTAAGGCAAGGGCATGGTAGACTATGTCGTATTTCTGGTCAACACATTGGTCTTTCTCGAACAATACACGCTGACAATAGTCGTCATTAGTGGACGTGGCGTCGCACGCGACGCCCACTGGCGCGGCGAACTACGATTCTCTTGATGCCCCTCCCCCTTCTTCATGTGTTATGGAAGTTGGCAAGCGACAGGTTTGGTCCAGTGCTGGGGCATTTCAGGGGGGGGGGAAGGGGAAACGAACGAACGGGCTGGCGCCGCGCCAGATACGTTCCCCCTTGACACGCCCCAGCATCCGGAGCGAACAAGACCACACGAATCCACACCAACGTCATTTTCCTCGCAACTTTTTCCCACAGTCTCTGCAGACAGCATTTCCGTGGGCATTCTGAAGTATTGCACCCAATGACGAAGTAAAACGATACAGCATTTGGCGCTGATCAGTCTCTTCCAGGATGCGCCACGAAATCGATTTCTATTCAAAATCATGATGGTTTCTCGAACTCCGGCCCAGAGAAGTTCTTCGGACCACTTTTTGTACACGTTATGGTTCTTAACCTCCCAAATGAGACTGGTACAAAGTAGCAGTCCGCAGAGAGACGGGAGGCTGGCTTATCCAAACGAAGATCTCAATTTTGACTACCATAACTGATACTACCACTGCATGCGCCATTTAATGTTACATCACTTCGTCCGAGAAGTGGTTTTGAAGGTTTCAAAGGGGGGAAATCTGTTCAGAAAAGAAAGTCAGGAGCTGGACCCTTTCGAAAGAATCAGAAAAAAAAGTGGGCTGCGCGCGCTACTTCTTTAGAAGTTATCTAACTATCCATCATAAACCCAGAAGACAGTGTTAGGCTCGCGATCTGCTTGTGACTCGACCAGTCGTTTGTGGAGGTAGAACAACTCCTTGAGGAAACCTCAGCAGCCTTATAAAAACGAGAAAATCTGACGCAGTTCGGCGACGGGGGGGGGGCATTTTGCACTTTCACTGCTTCACTACTTCCGGTTTACAAGTCTCACTCTGGTGAAACTTGTGAACTCTTGTGAAGCTGGAGCAAGCTCGTCTAGCCACCATGGTAAAACGTGTCAACTCAAGAAAAGGCTGTCTAGATGGGTCGACACATCGATGGGAAGAGAAATGCCCCCCTGCCTGAAAATCTCTTGAACCATCAATTCTCAGAGAAACTACACCATCCAACATGGATAAATGAACTTACCACTTGGATTGGAGTTGGCCAACAGTTTGTTGCGTGGCATTCTCGTCGCCTCTACCCGTTTCGAAAGATTTTCTCCAGCCTGAAACCAACACTCAATTAATGAGTTCTGAATGACTTACTGACAGTCGTACCAATACAGTAAATAAGTCCCCTTACCGTCCTATCCAATCGTGGTATCAGAGGAATCCTTTGCGAATATTCAGCCTTAGGCAATACATCCACAACCTGCAAATGTTTCTCTAATTCAAAGTTCCGCACTTCGCTTGTGAGGGTTTTTATCAAGTTCGAATGTGATTCGAGAAGTCTGAAATCAGCGTCTTCCTGCCAATATTCTCATAGTACCATCCTAAACTCCCGAATCCCAAACGGGCAGGCACGGTTCTAATTAAGCGGATTCATGAAAAGTCATCGAAAACGGTTGCAAATATCCACAACCATAAGCACCTTAAAGTCCAAACGGGAAAACTGAACCTTTCTCACATACCCAACACAGATGATTAGGACCCCACTGCTTCTTCATATACACAACATACCTGCGAGTAGTGTGCAGAACCTTGTCCTTCCTTGTTTGGCACAATATCGACAAGTAGACAAGAGTAAAGTAACTGAAACCCAAACACCTCATTATATTTGCTTGTCAGATATTCGCGGAGTGTGTCTTTAAGTCCATGTAAGCACTGACCTGTGATCTGCTGACAGCCAATCGTACATTCGTGGCGAGATGTGACGACAGAAGACTCAAGTCAAACGGATCGATACGGCTCTCTATCAGTGGAATGAGATTCTTCAACCTGTACATGATTAAAAATCAATTGAATCAAAAAAATCAGCTAGTAAAAAACACCCCGATATCTCAGGCCAGATCATCTCATTCTGTTTTTGCTGGACAACTATAGCGCACTGATTACAAGCGCGGTATCACACCTACACCGTTTGTTGGACCATGTTCACCCAAGGTCAACCCAACATAAAAGAGCGTAGTGCCGTTTGATTGTCGTGAAGACCTGTCTTCGACAAAAAGACAGAGTCCCCCTCTTTGCCATGCGCCCAGGTATCTACAAGAAAAAATGTAAACGGACAATGTGATTAGCTCAAATACATGTTTAAATGCATCGAAAAACCTGGCAAGAAGTCATGGGTGGACAAAGGTAGGCATCTTTCACGGCCAGGCACTCTTTATCCTCGATTAAACCATTTTGGAGCACGCCCTCCACCTTCCGTTACAGTTCAGAATAGTGGTAGGAATTGGCCCATACAGTGACTTGCCGAGAATAATTTTATCTCAGATACGAGTCTTTCACCAATTAACCAGCCCCGGCGGGATTGAACGCCCAGTTGGCCCGGTCAGGAGTCAATCCAAAATTTAACCCTGAACCATGTACCAGCGCCATTTGCTACTTCACTACCTGCTCAGTGGGTACGCACTAAAATGAGGGGGGGGAGGAGGAAAGCAAAGTGCGAGGACGTAGCATCCATCCTCTTTACCAGTTTCCCAGACACAGAAATTACACAGCATCACTCACAATCTTACTCCCCTGGACCAATAGATGAGAAATAATGAACATTAGCGTCCATTTCCAGGCGCCACACCTATTGCAAA